TGTTCATCCAGGAGGCGATAAAATGTATCAAGATATGAAGCGGCAGTTTTGGTGGGTAAGTATGAAGAGGGACATTGCTCTTTTTGTTTCTCAATGTAGTACTTGTCAGATGGTTAAGATTGATCATCAGAGGCCGCCAGGAGCTCTACAGCCACTACCAATTTCGGATTGGAAATGGGAGAGCATATCTATGGATTTTGTGGAAGGGTTGCCAAATTCTTTCAAGGGGCATAATTCCATATGGGTCATTGTGGATAGGTTGACCAAGTCAGCTCATTTCTTGCCTATTTGCACTGACTACACTTCGGAACAGTTGGCGAGGCTTTACATTTCAGAGATTGTGAAGCTACATGGCATTCCATTGTCTATTATATCGGACAGGGATTCGAGCTTTGTATCTGGATTTTGGAAGAGTTTTCAGCAGGCTTTAGGTACGGAGTTACACCTTAGTACTACTTATCATCATCAGATTGACGGACAGACTGAGAGGGAAAATCAGATTATGGAAGATATGCTTCGGTCGTGTGTTCTGGATTTTAAGGGCCACTGGGAGGAATATTTGCCACTTGTGGAGTTTGCTTATAACAATAGTTTCCAGAAGACTATTGGTATGGCACCATTTGAGGCATTGTACGATCGACCGTGTCGGTCACCTGTTTGTTGGATGGAGGTTGGAGAGAATCGATTCTTAGGTCCTGAGTTCATCAAGGATACCTCTGAAAAGATTGCTCTTATTCGAGATCGCATGCGTACTACCCAAAGTAGGCAGAAGAGCTATGCTGATCGTCGTACTCAGGCTTTGGAGTTTCAGGTTGGGGATCAGGTTCTACTCAAAGTGTCTCCTATGAAGGGTGTATGCGTTTTGGGAAGAAAGGGAAGTTGTCACCGCGATTTGTTGGTCCATTCATGATTACGGATCGCATTGGAGCTGTTGCTTATCGGTTGGCACTTCCGGATACTTTGGATCGCGTCCACAACGTGTTTCATGTTTCCATGTTGCGGAATTTTCTTTGAGATGAGGATCGGTATCAGCATATCGATGTTGGGGAGATTGCGTTGCAGCAGATGCAACTTATTTAGAGCCACCGTGTCGTATTGTCGACCGACGAGATCAGATTCTTCGTAATAAGGTTATTCCTTTGGTTCGTGTTCAGTGGAGTCATCACAATGAGTCTGAGTCCACTTGGGAACGAGAGGATGTCATTCGCTCACGGTTTCCTGAAATATTGGAAGAAGGTAAGAGTGAATTCCGAGGACGGAATTCCTTTTGTTAGCGGGGAAGAATGTAATACCCCTAATTTTAAAAAGGATATTCCTGGTATTTAATGGTATTTAATTTATTATTTAAGTGCATTTTATTTGATTATGTGTCATTATTTTTTTTTTTTATTAGGTGCTTAATTGTTTTCTTTTGTGGTGATTTAATTTATTTAAATGATATTTATTTTTAGTTATTTGATTGGAATTACTTGTTAGTGTTTTAATTATTTAATTGGCATTAATGGTTTAAGAGTAATTGGTTTAGTTATTTGATTGGAATTACTTGTTAGTATTTTAATTATTTAATTGGCATTAGTGGTTTAAGTGTAATTGGTTTAATTATTCTATGTGTGTCTTATTTTATGTGTGTCTTATTTGGTTTAATTGAGTTTACTAATTATTATTTTGTTCAATTAGATTATTTGTTAAGTATTTAATGGTGATTAGGGTAATTAGGTAAATACATCTAACTAGGGTTTTAATTACAGTATAAATTAAGGTTTTATATTATAACCGTCGTAGGTTTCTACGTTAATTGGATGGGCCGGTTAGGATTGTGAGTTGGACTTAAATGAACCTAGGGTTTAGGAAAACTCTATAAGTATAAGGTAGACGTCTGTGTAGGGTTTTTTTTAAACAAAGCACACGTTTTGTGGAAGTGGAGAAGGAAAAACGCAGTTTTTCACATTCTGCCAAGGTCTGATCAAAGATCCGATTTGGCTTCGTCTGTGGTCCGATCGAGCTGAATTTTGGAGGAGAGGTTCACGACTTAGTAACGCACAATCTGAACGGTGGAGATCAGAGTTTGACCTCGGGAACAGTGATTCGTACTCGTGAACAGTAACTGGGTCGCACAGGTTTTTTTTCCATTCTGCCCAGATTTCATCAAACATCCAATCCCGCTTCGTCCGTGGTCCGATCGAGCTGAATTTTAGAAGAGAGGTTCACGACTCAGTGACGCATAATCTGAATGGTGGGGATCAGAGTTTGACCTCGGGAACAGTGATTCGTACTCATGAACAGTAACTGGGTCGCACAGGTTTTTTTCCATTCTGCCCAGATTTCATCAAACATCCGATCCTACTTCGTTCGTGGTCCGATCGAGCTGAAATTTGGAGGATAGGTTCATGACTCAGTGTCGCACAATCTGAACGGTGGAGATCAGATTTTGAGTTCGGGAATAGTGTTTCGTGCCCGTGAACAGTAATTGGGTTTTGGAACTCGCCGGGATTTTTTAAGAAGACAACGTTGAAACTTTGAACAAAAGTTTCTGAGGCAAGATTCTATCCTTACTCTTTCCCTTAGGCTTCATACTCTTTGCACTCTTAAATGATTCCAGGATTCATGAAGATTAAACCAAACTAAAATGATATCTGTTTTGCTATGAAACTGGTAGTTACAGTAGTGTTGTATGCTTGTTCAACCTAGACTAAGCATGTTTGTGGATGCATTGTGGTTCTGTGGTTCACGTTTTTCCTTACCACTGCTAGTATAAATTATTGGAAGGATGGGTCTAGATGATAGCTATCTTAACTTCTGTAATAGCAACTGTTGGAACTTTAATACTAGGAGGATTTGAGTTTAACACTAGATCGGTTTTGTGGAACACTATAATTTGAGCATGTCTACATACATACTGTGAATATTGTTTTGATGCTTACATTATCACAGTTAGTATCAACTGTGGAGGTTAGGATTTTGTGATACATACCCTACATATCTGTATATCATTTGTAAGGTGTTAAATGGAAGTTTTAATTAATTCTGTCTTTATATCAGACTAAAGGGAACAACTTAAATTGGGCATGTATATGTTGTTGTTGTGACCCTGTTTATCAATGCTTATTTTATCACTGCTAACATTGAATGTTGGATGTTGGAAATTAGTTGATATATACTTGATTTATTGGTATTATTGACTACTGGAGGATTGGAAAGTAGGCACCGGTATGGGACGGTGGCATACTAAGGATGGGTTTGGTTTTTAAATCAATACCATTACCCACCTACTTGGAATAAGAATGGGATTAACTAAAAGTTTAAGTCCCGTGGATTTGTATTGTCATGGCAACTACTTATTGAGCGACAATACCAGGGATTTTGGATGGATTTTATATATGTACTGTTATGGTGCCTCGGTATGAGCTTGAGCCTCAGGACCGATGGCTAGGGAGCGTATATGCATCGGGATGTGTAGCTGGCTACGATGGTTGGAGGTGTACCCTGTTTAGGTATAGGTACATATGCCCACTTCGTGTGCGTTTTAGCATGTTACCTCTATTCAGGTTGAGACCGGCCTGTAGTCCAGTGAGAGTCCTTTAGTGTGACTATATATATATTTACGGACTATTAGCTATTGTTGAATTGTTTAGGATGTACATGAGTATCGGGCCTCTGTTTGGATTGTAGTAGTATAAAACTTGTGCGTGGGCCTGACCCACTTCTATTTTTCAGGTACACGACAGTTCCAGGCTTAGACGTGTTCGTGCTAAGCAGAGGTCTCTATTCACTCTTCCGACGATGTAGGGCTCTCTCTATAGTTTTATTTCTGGACGTTTATTACATTTGTTCTATCTTCCGTTTGGATGTTTAATAGGGGTCCACTAGAGATGGATTCCCAAGTTGTAAACTAATGGGGTTTTGGAGTTTGGGTTTGATGGATTTTAATAATTATAATATTTTGCGGATTCTATTTTTAGTTCCTTCCAGTTTTAATTTCATTTCTTAATTTATTTTGTATTCCGTGTTCATTATAAAATATTAATTGTTTGATATTCCCTCGGGTTTGGGCCTGGGCCTGATCAACCCGTGTCTCGAATCCGAGGGGTATCTCAGGTATGGCTCCATCCATCCTTTTATAACCACAACTTGAAACATTGAGGGTTAAAGTATGGAGGATTGTTGGATCATTAAGAGTTACTGAATAATTTGGAAAACAATTGAAGTATTGTAGGCCATCAAAAAGACTAGTTTGGCAAACTCCTAACAAAGAGGTTTCAAAATCGAGATGCCTACAATCCCTTAGAGTAAGCATGATACCAGTGTTAAATCCCCTTGAGGTAAGAGGTTTAACTGCAACTTGGACAAGCCCTATATGAAGGAATTTGTACTTCTTTTTGTGTTCTACTATGGCTCTTTTTTGCAAAAGTTGGATGACTTCAAAAAGGTTTTTTAGAGAAATAGTTTGTTCAACAGTTTTGATGGAGTACCCTATTTTGAGGTTGAAAGTCGAAGATTTGTAAATATCCCTAATGGGAACCTTGGGTATATTCCAAGTATCCCACTAATCATTCTGACCACTATCAATATGTTGTTCTTCTTGGTTAACTATCACTCTTCCTCCAAGAGGAGTTGACGATGTCGAAGACATGCTACGGTTGAAAAAATAATTACTAAACTACTTCTGAAAGTGTCCAAAACATATCATTATTATGTCTTTCAAGATATTTTTAGGCATATCTGACACGTGTCTTAATCATTTTAGTGTATCCCACAAGTATCCGAATATCCGACACCCTTAGAAAAAGAAGTGTCCATGCTTCCTAGTAATGCTCTTTATTTGTTGTCCACTTATACAAGTACAAAGCTTTCAAATTTGATGAGATTTGTCCGGCACCCTCAGAAAAGAAGTGTCCATGCTTCCTAGGTAATGTTCTTTATTTGTTGTCCACTTATGCAAGTACAAAGCTTTCAAATTTGATGAGATTTTCAATTCATTGAAGTTCGAAGACAAATAGAGGTCAGAAACGTAAAGAAAACATTCCCTTTAAGAAGAAAAACCAGAACAGGAGGAATGGGAAAAAAACCAAACCAAGTACACTGTTTCCATTTGAAGCCATTATTCTTACATTGTCACAAAACCTTTAACTGAACACTAAGACCTATGCAATACACTGTATCCCCAAGGCAAGTATAAGATGAAGTGAGTTATAGCTAGTTGGTATTATGTATGAGTGCCACTCAATTGTTTGTCTCATTTGAGTCTAAAATACATTCATCAGATTTGCTCTAGGATTGGAGTAAATACATTTCTTTACTTTTCTTGACCAAGCAGCAAGTGTGGTTCTTGATAATGTCGTTGGGAGTGAGCTCTTGTCAGAACCCAATGACTGCTTTATGTTTATGAAAATAGATCAGCTGTGATGCTATATGGCAGCTAACTTATCTTGGATGGGAATAGACTATTTCCTGAATCTTCTGTATTCAGTACTTGTAAATCTTCAACACTGGTTGGTGGATCATCTGGCCATTCGATATTCGAATCCTGAATATCAAAGTGGCTCTTATTTGTTTGTAGTTGTTGGTCGAACATCATCTTGAGTTGCCTCCCTTGTTCCTCAATCCTCAACTGCAAGTTTCGCTGTGTCTGTCCCAAAAAAATACACATAACCACTTCGATAAATTCCAGTAGAAGATTAAAAATCAATTTTATAAAATCTGAGTATTTCTAAATCTAAGAGCTTAAGCCAATTTAGAGGGGGGAAAATGTAGATAGTTTGACAATTTTGAACTGGTAGAAGAGGAAGACTGATAGAATTAAGCCATTTTGCGTTTGTTTTTCTCATTGCTAGTAATATGAATTGAACCAATTTCAGGATTGTATACAGTATGAAAGATCGTATGGATGACATTCCTCTGCTCACAGATCAAATGACAGATCTTGATACTTCCATGCTTTCATCGTTTTATTGAAGAGTTAAGAGTGATACCTCTAATTGCTCGTGAAGACGCCTCTGGACATCCAGCTGCATTTGAAGTGCCTCCTTGATTTGGATGCCACTGCTAGACAATTTGAAAGACTTGTTGTCACTTGTCAGATGAAGTGCTAATGTTAAGAGCATAGGGTTTGCCAAACATGAATGGGCATAAAAACAATGCCAATTTTACTAGTCACAAAAAAGTTGACAGAGGAGTTAAAATCACAATCAAGGTCATACAAATTTATCACAAAGCTTACGTTTTTATGCCAATCTGTGCTACATCATTAGAAATAGTCCTTTTATCAGATTTTGCTGCAAAATAAAAAGGAAAGAATTCAGATCAGAATCAATTTGTTACTACCAATCTGTAAATTAGCGAATACACTTTTTGAAAGGTATTATTTGCACAATTAGTTGACAAAGTTGTGTAAACCTAAACAAAGCACTCTGTTTTATCACTAGTAATATTTGAATTGAAATATGATTTTCTTTTGGAGTTGTATCAGAAAATCAAGTTCCTTCGCATCTAAAATATACATATTTGTTTAATTTGGTGAATATGCATTAGGGAATCCAAATTATAAGTGTTTATCAAGGTGTAATGAGTGTGGGATGAAAGTAACTACCCAAAATGGTGCAAGACCATATTATTTATGATCTTTTATATTCTTCTCTATAAATATACAATCATGTGAAACTCATACAATTCAGAGCTCTAAAGCATCAATGGAGACCATACGATACAACCCAAAGTTTTAATATTGATCAAACTTTGAGCATTCATATACGCCATATAAATCAATTGCTCAAACTCTGTATAACTATTGTTCGTGGTTGCACCTCACCAAGTTCAAGCAGATTAGGATCAAACATATCAAACACAGTATTCTGTCTTCAAGAACTTTGAAAACTAATTACAAGGATTTACCTTCAGCAGATTCTGGCATGTATTTTGCGGTTCGATATTTCTACAAAGAAGATCAAAAAAACAAATTCAAATTTCTATAAAGAAAAATCCAAAAATGGTTCAAACAACAAAGCTTTTTATATAGCATTAGTACCTACCTGCAAATGACTTTTCACATGAAATATAGTCAATCCATCAGAGTCCATAAGCTTCAGTATTGCTTTGGGTGTTGCCTCTACAAGTGAAAGGAGTTGTCAAAAAATAATGGGTTTTTTCTTTGGACAAATTAAGGCTCATATCAAGATACTTACTCTCAGCACCACCAAGGCGACTCACACACTCAACAAACCGATCATGAAGATCTTGAGTCCACCTAATTCGTGTTTTACATGAGTTAACAGCTCCGGTAGGAACAGAGTCACCAGAAGCAATTGGAACACTTGCAGAAGGTCTTGCAGGCTGTCTCATCTGTCCAAATGAAGTAACACCATACATATCACTACAAACCTGCAGAGAAGATAACAAGTATATATGATCATAAAAAGTCCCATCATGTGAAGAAGAATATACAAGTCGTTGATAAGAAAGGCTTACTCTAGGATCCTGAGTTTGAACAAACTGAATTGAAGGGTGCCTCCTATCTGAATTTTCAAGATTGCCTCGCAACTCTCTCTTGTGCTGCAAAACACGTTCGCTCTCAGGATGATCCACACGAGGAATTTTGTAGGATCCTCCATAAGAATTGCAGTGCTGGTTGCTATAGAGTTGAGATTTAACAGATGGTTGGTGCAGGGCAGTCTGGGATTGAAAGCTTTGGTCTACTTGCTCTCGCGAATCAATATAAAATTCGTCCGCGGAAGATTGATAAGAAGGAATTTGGTGCTGCAGATCATAGTTCTTGGAGACTTGGGGGCTCAAATAGGAACTACCAACTTGATCATCATACTGTGGAAACCCCATGTACCTTTCAGTTGCATAGAAAGCAGAAGCTGGTGAGCCGATACGGCTCACAATGGTACTAGAGGAGTTAGGAGGAGGACCAAAGTTTTGCTGTTGTGAACCTCCTCCCTCCTCCATTGCTAGTGTCTGACTGCAAATTCCCATTTGAGAAGGCTGTTGGGGAGTAGCAAAGAACTGAGAAGATTGGGTATTACATTGAAAACTATTATCATTCACCAATCCAAGGTTTTGCTGACCTCTGTCTTGGCAAAAAATCTTATAGGTGTTCATTTAGAAAATGATCAAAATTGCAAGCAAACTAAGATGAGCTCTGTTGAATTTACTCCACAAATAAGGAAATAACAAACCAAACTGTATCAAACTTCATACTACTCTTTATTATTGCATTCCTTTAGAAAGTATGAACCACGCAAACTACGCGTAGAATCAGAATAAGGAAGATAAAGTGATGAGAGAGAGATAAATCACAAAAAAAAAAAAAAAAAAAAAAAAAAAAAAAAAAAAAAAATTGATATGTTGTTGAAATTCAAATTTTCTGCAGCAAAATTCCTTCCTATATGCTCCAAGACTTGATATATAAGATACATCAACAATATATATGTCCACAATCCTATATATGCATGGCTTTTTATTATTCATGTGGATAGATATGAACAATGATCTTTTTTGACAATACCAATGTTAAAAAAATCATTTAGAAAAAGACAAATCTTTCATAGACAACTACTTTAAGAAAGTTTTGTCTTTTCCATAAACACAAGTTTCAACAGCTACCTTTAACTAAAAAAAAAAAAAAAAGTTTCAACAGCTATATATGCTGTGCCTTATTACCCCGCCCCCAGCCTACAACAGATGGGATGGAGAGAGTAATGAAAATTCCAATGACTGAGGTAATGAGGTCTACTAATTAACAATGTTACCTAGAGTTGAATTTTATAAATTCAAAGTGTTCTTTACAAGCTCGAATAATGGAGAAGGGTTGTGTTAGGTACTCGACGTAAATTATTTATGAATATGAATCATATGAATACACGAGTAAGTGATCGGATATGTATTATAAGTGACATGTTGTGTTAACTTCCGAATGCTTCAAAAAACGGGTAAGAGGCACTGTATTGACGTTCTAGTGCATTGACAGAGTGTATGGCCTTAAATATGACTGGAATGAAAACATATGATTCATATAATCGACCCCAACTTAATTAGAAAAAAATTAGTTGTATTATTGTAGTATTGTAATTAAAGTTGACCTTAATGTGTCATCATAAATGGAGAATATAGTATTGAGCATATGTAGCTTAATAATTCATGTGAGATACTGGTGGCATATATTCACCATCCCAACAGATCTTCATTTATTCCTTGTATTGATATGGATGAAAATAACTTTAGCCACTATAAATTCATAAACTAATTGACACACTAAAACAACCATGTCTAAATGTCATGTTTCCCGGCCACAACTTGCATCCACCAGAGAGGGTATCTGAAAAGCATTATCATAAACGTTTATGGGATGTTAGATTGATCTGAAAACGAAACAGAATTGGAATCTTTAAGATTCCTAAACATGTTCAAAAAAGAAATGGAAAGGACCAATTCCATGTTCACATGGGAGAAATTGAAATTCATTAATCACCTCTCAAAACATTGTACGTGGGTGATTAAAATGTTAATATCTTTTTATTCCCAAAAAAATAAAAATAATAAAAAAGCTCCCCCCACCTTGAGAGTAGTGGGTCTATTGTGGACTTGGGCTATAAATTCCATCTTATCTAACGGTTGAAACGACAAAAAAAATTAGTCACAACCATCTAAAACATAAAAATAAAATACTAATTATGATTAACCATTGATGGTGTTTGTTCTCTACTACTATAAATATATAAGACACAAAGAAGATTATGGTTGGTTTGTTTTGTACTTGCATGGAATGTCACAATCGAAGATGTTGCTGGAATCAATGCATTTTAGTATAGAAAAATACTGTAATATGGAGACTTGAAAGCTTCAATTCTTTGTTGAATTTCATTATCTGATGGTAACAACTAACAAGAGAATAATTAGGTGGCTCTTGGGACCCACCACACCAGTCAAAAAAGTACATCAACTTTTGTTTTGATCTTCAAGTCATTGCTTTCAACCACCAATGTTCAGTCCAGAATTTTTGAGACATCACAGATGTGTACAACTGTTCATGGATCACGATGACACAGTTGTAGAGATTGAGAAACACAGTGTCTGTACCGGAACACAACCCCAATTGCAAGGTCCTAATTGGTGGTAGGAAATCCAATCCCAATGACTCCGTACTAAAAAAAATTATTTATTTACTTTTGTAAACCAAGGTCTTAAACCTACCAAGGACTAAAGGTCACAAATTCTTTTTTGTTTTTTTTTTTTTTTTTTCTTGGCCAAAAAAAGTATATGCCATTGCCGATTTGCCGTTCATGGGAAATGAAGAATTTTTGGTATACATTGCAGTTATCGGTTGATGAGTTGGGAATGATACTGCATCGTCCAGTCTACGAGGATGAAAAATTTATTATATGATAGAAAATTTAGTTACGGTTAAGTGCAAAAAACCTCCCTGATATATAGACTTTGTGCTGAACAATTTTCTATTTTTTAAAAAAGTACATGCAAGTCCACAAAATTCAAAAAGGGTGTATAACCGATCCCTTTGACAACTTTTTACAAAAAGTAAAACTTAAAACCCCATTTTACCCTTTTGTTTCCCATTTTGCCCCTCACCATTTGTGTATAAAAGTCCCTCAGCATTGTGCATAAAAGGCCCCCAGCACCTAATCCTAATTCGTCCCTCTCTCTCTGTTACAAAGTAAAAGCTGGCTACAAGAAAAAAACTCAAGAAACCCAAATTTCATGACATCAGTGAGGAAATCCACTCTTAAAGGAATTTGATTGTAGAACTATCCAATACTGGCTCCAGGAATTTCAAGACATTTACATCAAATATTGGAATGAAATTGTCAACGATTCTGCATCCTTTGCAGCAAAATCATCATGTGGGATTAGCCTTAAGCAAAGTGTGTTGTTTAGAAAAATCTCGTTAGGCATTTTGATTGGATATTCTACTGGCATTAATGAAGATGGATGTAAGCTGCTGCTGCATTATGTTGTAACTGGTTCCATACTGTAGTTGATAGAAACTTAGACTGCTGGATTGAACCATCGAAAATGGATTGCTGGAGAGCAGGAAGACTTTGAAAAGTGTAATTATTGGGTAATCGGGATGATATTCACCTTGTACCATGTTAGACACACACACACACACACACACACACACACACACACACACACATATAAGTATAAAATGGTGCATCCCTATTGTGTGTGTATTTAACTAAAGTCAGCCGCAAAAAAGAAGAGGATGGCCGTCGCGGAGAGATGGTCGTCGAAGAGAATGGCCGTCATAGAGGCCCTCATCGCCGCCGATCCAAGGATGGCAGTCGGTAAGTTTGGAGCTCACCTGAATTGGGTCACCCAAGGCTCGCCGGAACTGTGCTCTGTACTCTTCACCGGACTGATACAAAGGGAAGCTCGTCGAACTGTACACTGAAATTCTTCACTCGTTTTGGGTTTTCAATGGTGTTCACCGGAGATAGAGCTAAAACACACCGGAAAAGACCTATTCACAATGATCGCCTGAACTGATTACTAAGCCATGGTCGCCAAAGCTCTATAATCTCGTCGGAGTTGATCTCTAAAATTTTCTATGTTCCTACCGGCGACCTAACCAAGAAGATGTGTTAAAATTTTGAGGAACAGTTGGCTGAATATGGTTGTTACGGGCTTAAAAGTTTTCATCCAAACACAATTTGAGCTTAAATCGAACTGATGCTAGAAATAGCTTACAGAGAAAATCTTTACACAGAGACAAAAATCCAATTGTCAGTTATTGTTTTCACACACATCAAACCATGATCGGATGATGTTGGGCCTCAATTTTGATTCCTTTCATCTTCCTTATAAAATCCTTACATTTCTTGTTCAGTTCCTCTGCACTCAACAACCCAATTCCTTCTCCCTCTTATTCCATATCATGAAACTTTGCTTCATCTTCATCTTGTGTAGTCAAGAGCCCATTTTCATCACACTTTGCCATAACCGAAATTCCATTTTCACTTCCATGATCTTCTTCATCTTCCACAATAACAACTTCATTAACTAATGCTTTTGGTTCAAAAATTCAAGCACTATTGATCGTCGATCTTCGCCGTCCTTCTTGATGTGTTTGCCATCAACATCACTACCCAGTTGAGGGTTAGTGATCAGGCCAGAGCTGGTGATCATAAAAATAAGAATTCCATTGCAGAGGAGGAATATGTAGTTCCTGTGAATGGTAAAGGAAACTGTTTGGATGAAAAATGGAGTAACATCATGATTGAAGGAATGGAGAAGGAAAGGAAGTGGTGAGTAGTAAGAAAACAGGAAGGAAAATAGTGAGAATGAGAGTAGAATTGGGATGGCTTTCTTCAAGAACTGGAATTGGCTGAATTCACTCATAGCCATGGAGGTGGAGGCTGAAATGATTTGCCCTAAAACCCATAGATTTGTCCTAATAATATATGGTGTGTGCATATATATATATTACAAATTTATTTATATTTCAAAATATGAAAGGGCATGTTTGGTTTTAGATTTAATTATATTCAGGTTTAGGTTATTCCAATTTTATATAATTTGAGGTTTATATTATCCTCCTGCCAAACAAACCCCATTTTATACAAATTTGGACAAAAAAGTCATTTTACATGGCCTGTATTTATAATCATTAATTTATTTAACTAAGTGAGGGTATTATCGTCATTTTACACCACCAGGGACCCAATCGTACCAAATTGATAGTATAGGGGGATTTTTTACCACACAGGGACTGATATGCACTATATCGATAGTAGATAGGGGTTTTTTGCACTTAACCCATTTAGTTATTCTTAATTTTCTGTTCAATTAATGTTCAATACGCTAAGGTGTGATTAATCAAAATTATTATTTTAAACCATATTATGATTAATTTTAGTTGTAGCTAGACTGCAATATATAGAGAGAGTAAGGACATGTTGAAAGCAGCTATATGGACAGTTTGATTCAAGCAGCAAATAGGAGTTAATTTGTTAGTGGACATGCATATAGACCTGTTAATGGAGCAAATTCTTATTTGAATTCGATCTGATTAGTTGGATATGGATTGAATAAAAAAATCTGATAATCCAATCTGATTAAAATTATAACTACATTTAATAATCTGATCCGATCCGATCCGATTAAAATTATACATATAAATATATATATATACACACACATCAATACTCCTATTAGAATTGTAATAGAGGTAACCCAAAAATTAAAAAATTAAAAAAAAATCATAATATTATATATACAATTCATCCACATGCTAATAAATCTCTTAATATACATACTAATAATATCATACTCTTTATTCATTAAGAAAGAGTAATTAATTTTTTTTTTTTCCTTTTCCTTTCATATTAGAGTAAATATATGTATTTTCTTTTCCTTTCACATTTTACTTATCTTTGTTTTATATCTTTTTCTTATAATCATTGCTTTTCTTTTTCTTTTCTTTTTTTAATTCTCTTTTGACATTAATTTATATTTTTTTTCTTTTTTCTTTTTCTTCTTTTTTTTTTTTTTTTTTTTTTTTTATATATATAAAAAACTTACATTTTTATCATATCAGATCGGATTATCGAATCAAATATCCATTTATTAACAAATTGGATTCGGATTAACTTACAAAATATCCTTCGAATTATCAAATCGGATCTACTAAAATGTTTATCGGAATCGGATTCGGATCGGATCAGACCTGATCTGGTCAGAATCCTATCCATTTACAGGTCTACATGCATATGGTTAAACATAGGGGTGGCAAAATGGGTCACAACCCATCAATCCGCCCATATCCGCTCGCTTTTAAATGATTTTGGATGAACCATATTTAAAATGGGTCAAAAATGGGTTGAGTAATTTTTAACCATTTAATTTGAGGGTCAAGATGTGTTGAATATGAATACTCATATTTAACTTATATTTCACCCATCACGGCATCACATAATAGACACACAACGCACATTTATTTTATATTGCGTTTAACTCATTTCTCTCTCTAAAAGTCTCTCACTTACTATTATCTCTTTCTAAATTTGTCTCTCATCAATCCCCTCTCTTTAAGTTTCTCTCTCTAAAAATTTATTCTTTTTCCTTCGCTTCTCCCTCTAAAACGAGTCGACAAATATTGCTGACTTTGAGATTATTTTTTTATTTGTTATTAAATAAATTTTAAAACTTTCTGGAATAAATAATTAAAAAAATAAATAATTAAATAATAATTAATAATTAATAATTAAAAAATAAAAAAATAATAATAATTAATGGATCCACGGGTCATAACGGGTTGACTTTATACATTTTTTACCCGTCTATTTTTAATCCGTTCTGAACGAGTTGAATATAAGTCTTGACCTATATTTGACCCGTTCATTTTTAATCCAACCCAAACCCGACCTAAATCCCCATTTGCGGCCCCTAGTCCAACTCATTAAAAGTATAGAAAGCTGTCCAGGTCAATGTAGTAGTAATATAAGGCTTGCAGATTAGCTAATCCAAATGTAGTGAGCCGAATCACAAAAGCACAAAACTTCTTTTAGAAGTTAACGAAGGTAATTAATTAAGTTTGAACCCTCCATTGTAAAACCTCCAAAATATCAAGATAATATTAATAAATAAGCTGCTGTGTTTTTTTGTATTTAATGCATCTTACCAGTTAGCTAGTTTGAATGAAAATTCTCTTTCCTTTTCTTAAATATTGGGACGGACAAATTATCAAATGATTTTCACTAGATTAATTAATCCAAATTTTTTTAATTACTTCTTAATTTTTGTGATATTTTTCTTTGATAAATCAAAATTGTTTTTTTGTATACGTGCATTTAGTTAAGTGTATCACACAATTGGCAGTTTGTACTTGAGGGTACAAAGAATCACGTTACTGTAAAGCTTTTGCATGTGAAAAATTCATTTAGAATACAGCATATTATGGTCTGCCGACCTTTTGTCTTCACCAAGGAGAACAAAATAAAATAAAATAAAATTGACAAATGTCATACTTATATATATATATATATATATATATAATCTACTCAGATAAATAACAGTCACGTTTTTCAAAATTATTCGATTTTTCCAATGCCATCAAGAATTGCAGCTAATAAATAAATGTATCTTTTTATTGGGACTTTATCCAGCAAAACTGTCCCTTGCAGTGTTGTAAGGACAAATTAATTCTAACAAATAAATTATTAGATGGTATATCTCTATTTATATGTGGTGGAGCAGTTAAATTCGTATCATGAGATTTTTTTGTATTATATTAATACACTCTTGTGACCATTTTTTGAATCAAAAGTTTGAATTAAATTAGTACACTAATTAAATTAGTACACTAAGTATTTATGAATCATTTAATAATTTCTCAATTCTAACAGTGTCTTGGCCTGTCTGTGTTTTTGAAGGGTGTCCCAATTATGTACAAACCAATATCTCTCCAGTGTAATAGTAGTTTAGTTCAATTAGGGAAGTACTGTACAAAAAATTTTGATCCTCAGCCCACTCCATAATTTTATTTAGGTTATTTCACTAACTAGATGGAATCGAAATTGGAGAGAATTTTGTTCCGCCCAATCACCAAATACAATACCCCTGATAGAATTGTTTTTATTTTTTTCTTCTTTTGTGGTAAGAAACTTATATACTCATCTAATCTTACAAAGATTTGAACTCTCACATTTCATTTTAAAAGATAGAAGATATATTATCAAATTAAAACTTTTAAGTGTAAGGATAGAAGAGACAATACTAAGTTACAACTTCTAACTTTTGAAGTGTCTGGATAACTTATTCTAGACTTGTAAATTCATGAGTTCTGCTCCAAACTAGGTGGATAAATTTTTAATATTTTGTGAGATCGAGAATCTTTCTTGGTATATATTTTGTGCAAATGGACAAGTAAAAATATTATTACACGGATTAATTTAACACCCCAAATGAAAAGCCACAGAGAAAATTTGTCATTTCTCTCCACTCTCCCTGAATCTTCTTTCGGCCAAATGGGGCCTCAATCCCAATTGTTTCTCCATCCTCAGACCGAGCTACAAAAAGAAGATAGAAGAATAGTTGGAATGGTACATTGCCAATTCCAAAGACTGGCCCTATTCAATGTAGCATTACTCTAGGAGAATTGGATGCCAGCACCAAAATTCTTAACAATTCGAATCAAATAAATGCTTTCTTTTTTATTAAAAATTTCAATTAAATTTCGACAAGAGGAATATTTAAAGAAAATTCGATGATTCATATTCCCTAATAGTAGTCTCATAATGAGAACGTACTAATTTTTAGATGTCAAACGACATCAAATTGTGCTATCAAAGGAAGAACTGAAAGAAAAAGTTTTCCAAACACTTTTGATGTTCTAGATTGGATCGTTATATCTAGAAAATAGGTTTTGGACTGGCTTTTTAGACAATTCCTTTTGGGGCATGACTTGTTTTTAACTAACCTTTACTCAAATTAGAATTTATGGCAGGAAAAAAAAAAAAAAAAAATCTTCAAAATGCCAAATTCATCTGGTGTGTGTTTTTTTGTCAATAAATAAAAATTTTGGCTGGTGATTTTATTATAACCGTGGTTGAATAAGTTGAATTTTAACACATACAGCATGCACAAAAAGATAACAATAAACAATGATAAATTAGGGACAAAAAATTATTACTAGAAAATGTTACTATTTAATTTTTTTTTTTTGAATGGTTTCATATTAGCATTGTAAATGAAATTACTAGATACTTTGATCAAGTTATTGCGTGAAAATTTAGTGTCGACAAATGTGAGAATAGGAGTTGTATTTTTTTTTTACCCGTGACCGTCAAATCTCTTAGAATATCTCATAATTTATTATCATAAGGGTATAATATTCTCATCCACATGATGTAATTGTACCATAAAAATTCCTTCAAAATGACACAAAAGTCAAAACAACCATTCCTTATGCTTTCCACCCATCCAAGTATAAAGCTTTCATAATAGATGAGATTCTTAATACATTGCTAGTTTGAACATAAAACTATATAAGAGAAGATTAAATCCAACCCAACACACCTAGACTTGGTTGGAAATCTTTAGCACAAACCGCAAGTAAAAATCTTCATTAATAAGTAAAATCAGAACAGAAAAGGGCAAAACCCAAGTACACTGTTTCCATTTGAAGTCATTATTCTTACATTGTCACAAAACCTTTATGTTTATGAAAGTCTGATCAGTTGTGATGCTATGACAGCTAATTAACTTATATCTTGAAGACTGGTTGGTGGTGTTGGGATGCATTTCAAAATCCTTGAAGATTGCAGAGTGCTAAAGAAGTTCGACGAGTCGCACTAATTCTGAGAAGTGCGATCAGTCGCACTATCAACAGGTGGATCATCTGGCCATTCGATATTCGAATCCTGAATATCAAACATCATCTTGAGTTGCCTCCCTTGTTCCTCAATCCTCAACTGCAAGTTTCGCTGTATCTGTGACCCAAAAGAATACACAAAACCACTTCAATAAATTCCAGCAGAAGATTAAAAACCAATTTTATAAAATCTGAGTATTTCTAAATCTAAAAGCTTAAGCCATTTTAGTGGGAGGGAAAATGTAGATAGTTTGACAATTTTGAACTAGTAGAAGAGGAAGACTGATAAAATTAAGCCATTTTTGCGTTTGTTTTTCTCATTGCTAGTCATATGTATTGAACCAATTTCAGGACTTGATACAGTATGAAAGATCCATATAGATGACATTCCTCTGCTCACAGATCAAAGGACAGATCTTGATCCTTTTATGCTTTCATCATTTCGTTTTATTGAAAGAGTTAAGAGTGATACCTCTAATTGCTCGTGAAGACGCCTCTGGACATCCAGCTGCACTTGAAGTGCCTCCTTGATTTGCATGCCACTTGCTACACAATTTGAAAGAATTGTCGATTTTCATTTTTCAGAAGAAGTGCTAATGTTAGAGAATAGCGTGCATGTGTCAAACATGGATGAGGAATTAAAAGAATTCCAATTTTATCACAAAGCTTACTACGATTTTATGCCGATCTGTGCAGCATCATTAGAAATGGTCATTTTATCTGATTTTGCTCAATATTAGACAAAGAAGAAAAAAAAATTTAAAAATAAAAAATAAAAAGAGAAAAGAATTCAGATCATAATCAATCTGTAAATTATGTGATACACTGCTTCATTGTTTTGATCGAAATGTATTGCTAGCACAATTAGCTGATCAGAGAGTTAAGCAAACGTAAACAAACCAATCTATCTCTCATCACAAGTAATATAATTTGAACCGAGATATGATTTTTCTTATGGAGTTGTATCTGAAAATGAACTTCCTTTACATCTAAAATATACATATTTGTACAATTTTTGGTGAACATGCTCGGTATTGGTTATAAGGATTTTACCTTCGCCAGATTCTGCCATGTATGTATTTTTCAGTTCGATATTTCTACAAAAACAAATCAAAAAAACTAAAGGATAAACAATTGATTCAGATTCTATGCAGAAAATTCCACAAATTAAGAAATAACAACCAAAAACTGTATCAAAGTTCATACTGCTTTTTATTGCATTCCTTAGAAAGTACGAAGAGGAAAACTACGCATGGAATCAGGAAAAGGAGGAAGATTGATCGGCCGGATAGATAAACAACAAAAATATGTTGAAATTTGAATTTTCTGTAGCAAAATTCCTTCCTATATGCTCCAAGACTTAGATGTATATATCCACAGGCTTATGCATGCCTTTTAATTATTCTTTTAGGTGGATATATAGATTATATGAACAATTAATGATGTTTTTGACAAAACCAATGTTAAAAAAAATAATTACATTCAGAAAAAGACAAATCTTTCATAGATAACTACTAGCTTTAAGAAAATTTTGTCTTTTCTTTTAACATAAGTTTCAACAGCTATGCTTTGTCTAATGACCCCCACCCCACAAAGGAGAAAGACACAGAGAGTAAGAAAAAAAATCAAATGACCGGGTAATGACTAATGAGGTCTTACTAATTAACAGTGTTATCTAAAGTTGAGCTTTATGTGTCAGCAGATATATGGAGTATATAGTTATGATCATATGTATATATTCATCATCCAAACAGATCTTCATTTATTCCTTTTACCGATATCTATGGATGAAACAAACTTCAGCCACTAGAAATTAATAAACTACTGTAATTGACAACACTAAAACTACCATGTCCAAATGTCATCCTTCCACAAGTTGCACCCACCAAAAAGGGCATCTGGAAAGCATTACCATGAACGTCTATGTAATGTTAAATTGACCTGAAATCGAAACAATCATTTGGCATGCCTAGTTATGTTTTTGGTCAATATCAAATCAACCGTTTTGTTGTAGGAGTGTTTTGGGTAGAAATTCGTAACAAGTTTGGTAATGAAAATTTGTTTTGAGAAATTCAAAATTTTACTTTAGTTTCTCCGCTATAATACCAAAACACACAATATCACTAATTTAGTAATATAGGTTTAAGTAAAAAAATTTGATATGTTGTGAACTATATATTCCAAACCAATATATGTCATTTCAAACATGATATGAGTCTAAATTTAAATACCAATATAAGAAAAACAATATCATAACGCATGTCAAACGAGCCCTAGGATTTCAAAACATGTTCCAAAAAGAAAAGAAATGGAAAGGACCAGTTCCATGTTCACATGGGAGACATGTAAATTAATTAAACAGCTCTTAGAACATTGTGGGTGATTAAAATGTTAAAATCTATTTACCCACAAATTTTTATTTTTATTTTTAATGAGAGGTTTGAATTAAAAATGACTTATTCAAAGTATGTTTGAAGGTCACGAGAGTATTTTAATGTATAAAGTTAGAAACTTTAAAAGAAAATAAGAATTTTAATTTAAAAATGACAAGGTATTTGGAAGTCAAGACAATGTTTTAATATATGAAGTTAGAAACTTTGAAAGCAAATAAGAGTTTTAAGGACATATTAAAATTCCAAAGGTGCCATGGCCGGCCAGTTGGTGTTTTAAAAGGGGCATTCCAATCAGCAACCACAATACCCCCTTGATGAGGTGACCCCATGTAATGTAGTGCCACTGCAACTTGTTGGTTTTCGCTTAAACATGAATGATTGATCATTTAGATAAATATATGGATGGTCAAATACAAACCTTATTTTTACTTTAAATAAAAAAATAAAAAATAAACCATTTGTTTTTTTTTTTTACATGGGTAAGATTTGAGATTTAAATACAATTTGTTCTTCATTAGAAGAAATACACTTACACTCCCAAATACTTGTACGACGATTTTAATTTTCAATCTTCAATTTTAAAAATGAGAAAATATGTTAAGCTACAACTTTTGGTATAGGTTAAATACTATTTTTATTTTTTAAAGTAGTATAGGTTAAATACTTACAGTTAACCCCAATTGGGTAACCAATTTGGCATCTGGCTTACTTCCCAGATGTCTTGGTTTCGACTACTACCCCAATTGCTTCTACAAAAAGAAGATAGAAAAAAAGTTGGAATTGTACATTTGCCAATTCCAAAAAAGGGCCCCTATTCAATGTACAGTGTACACTCTACGAGAATTGGATCCCATCTCTAAAAAACTTAGCAAATCGAATAAAAGAAATGTTATTCTTTTGTATTACAAGAGCTACTAAAAATTTCAATTAAATCTGGACAAGAGGAATATTTTAAGAAAATTAGTTGCATTATGGATTCATATTCACTAAGAGGCGTCTAAGACCATACTTAATTCTAGATGTCAAAGGGCATCAAATTATGCGCATCATGACAAAGATGATCTGCAATCACCCAATCCATTGGCACAAGCTGTTGACTCAGGACAAACAAACACTACATTTTACAATGCAACCGAATGTATGTGCACTGCCACTATGTCCCAACGCATCAGAAAACCAAGTGTGTGTATACAAAAGTGATATGGAATGGAATACAAGATAAGTGTGGGTTTGATACCTCTCCCAACTCATGGAATGATTTCTTAGTATGGGCATCCTCCAACTGGAAATAAAAATTGGAAAAAAGAGTAGTTTTATGTTTATGAAAATAGATTTGTTGTGAAATATTGTGATGTTATGGCAGCTATATATATGTTGGATGGGAATGGGGTATTTCATGTATCACTCGTTTTAAATCTTCAAGACTGGTTGGTGGAATTGTTGGGAAACGTGCAAATTTTAAAAACTTTTCGAATGATTTTTATTCACAGATCTTGATTCATCACATAGAGACAAGTTCTATGCAAAAATAAAATATGATGTATCATTCAATTAACAGATTGAATACTTATATCAATTGTCTGAGTAAACCTTTAAATCTTTCCTTTAAACTGAATGTTCTCACTTATTGTAAATCCCTTAGCAAGATGCCTTCTCCTTGAATCTCCATCTTCTTGGTAATTGTTTTGCCTTTAGGAATCACTTATAAACCTCCATGAATGACCTTGGAAAACTAGGCTTATGTGTAGCCTCCATTAGATGAGAAAGCAAACCCTAAAATCAAGAGAGAGAAAAAATATATTCATTTTTCTTTTTCCAAAAGTCTCTCCTAAAATATACTAGGTATGCAAACAGTTGATGGCAAACAGTTGATGGCAAACATAATTTTACATTCAAAACACAACTTTTCTATATAACATATGTCAACATTCAGAAATACAACATCACATCTTTCACCTAACATATTGTGACGTTCCGAATTTTCACAAACCCAGATAGTCAATGCGACCCAAAAGTTGACCCGATAACGGATTCGAAATGCGAAAGTAAAAGGGTGAAAATAGACCAAGTATGCCTCCAAGGGCAAAATGGTCATTTCACATGCAAACAAAGTCTCAAGAGATGTACGTCATCGCTAAGACACCAACATGGTTTCTCATAAAGTCATGGAACTTAAAAGAAAATAAAATGCGGAAACGAAATTTTAAAAACGGACAAGTTTAGTCCTATTGGCAAAATCATAATTTTCAGAAAGTTATGGGTGCTACCGAGCACACCTTGGATAGATAACGATAAATTAACAAAGTTAATTTATGTGGATATATTAGGTGAAAGATATAATAATGTATTTATAAAAGTGTTGATATATGTTATATAAATCTTGTGCTGTGATTGTAAAATTATGTTTTTCACCAATTGTTTGTAACTGTAGTGTACAATTGAAGTATATTAGATGTATTTGTTATGGCAATATATACCACATGTTAGAAAATGAATGCATGAATGGTAATGCATTATAGTAGTGTAGAAGTAATTTTTATGTGAATATGTTAGGTGAAATATGTGATTCTGTATTTATGAAATTGGTGATATATATTATAGAAAAGTTATACTGTGAAAGTAAAATTATGTTTGGCACCAATTATTTGCATATCTAGTGTAAACTTGAAGTATGTTACATGTATTTAATCTGACAACATATGCCACGTGTTAGGACATGGATGCATGAATGATAATGCATTATAGTAGTGTAGAAGTATATTTTATGTGGATATGTTAGGTAATATATGTGATGTTGTATTTATGAAAGTGTTGAAATATGTTATAGAAAAGTTGTGTTGTAAATGTAAAAATATGTTTGCCACCAATTGTCATCGGCAGAGTCTCTATCACTTTCTTCATCATCAGTTTCCTCATTGTCACCATCACTTTCTTCATCTTCAACTTCTTCATCCTCAACTTTATCCCCACCTGATTCCTCAATACGGTCACTATCTTCATCATTACCATCTGGATCACTTGGTTGCCCACCCAACCCATCATTATTTTCTTTGTTGTCCCTTGAGAGTCTTGCTTTGTTTTGCATGTCTAGTTTCTTGAAAGCAGATAACATTTTTTATATACTTCTCTTGAATTTTAAAAGATTTAATTCAGCTATTTGTATTTCGATCCGCACTTTGTTTATGTAACTCTGAGTAAAATAAGGATAGTTAATTCACATAACTTTTTCAAACATATCCTGTAAATAGAGAAAATGTATTTTACAACCCGATTACCTCCACATCCGAGTCAGAAAAATGATAATCATCAAAATCCATGTTTAAAAAACGACCCAAACCATCTTTGGTTGGCACATCATTACCACTACTACTGCTACTACATGTCTTCTGCTTTAGATAAATCAACTATTTCCATTCCATATTTAAATAACACTAGTCTATCATTAAATTATAATATATATATATATATATATATATATATATATATATATATATATTCAATAATACAAAATAGTATTCATAAATATACTTGTCCATACATAACAAAAATAATAACCTGTCCATGTCCAAAACCTCCATTACCTATCTCCCATCTGATGCGTGATCGTACAACCTCTGATGTCCAAAAACTAAAGCTTTTCATATCTCCCTCAGGATAAACTCAGTATTACGTATCACAACGCATCAAATAAAGTAGCTGATTTAAAAGACCAATAATTAAAGTAAATATTACTTCTGTTTCATAAAATTAATATGTAATTCACACCCATTTTAAAGACAAATATATACAAATCATAACCAAGGATACCTACAAAAAACCCTAAATTCTTAAATAAATTTGTAAACCCTAAAACTGATACATAATCAATATTTATCTATACATTAAGAACACTGTGGGAGGCGAGTTTACCAAATTCTGCTCACCATCGGAAATACCAACACTGCTTCGTCCTTTATGTGAGGTTTATCCTTCATGTGAGACGTTTTCTGTTCTTGCGTTATTGGTAGACATTGTCTTCTTCTTAGGTAATTGGAACGTACGTTTTTTCGTTTTCTTCCTTGCTATAGATTTTAACCTAGCCATTAAATTTTGAAATATCCCAAATTTGAAATTTCGAAGTTCAGACGAAGACGAAGAAGAGAGTACATGAGACAGATTGGAAGGAAAAAGAACAGTGGAAGATTCAGATGACAAAGACAAAGAAGAGAGTAGAGGATAGAGATTACGGATTTGTAATTTTACCCAAAGGTAAAGTTAAATGTAATTGTATATCGTGTATTTTTATACATGTAATGTATAAGTGCATTATGTATTAGTATAAGTGTCTGGGGTATTCGTATATGTTGTAAATGAAATAGTACATCAGTAACTTTATTGTGTAAGATGCTGATTGGACGATGATGTGACAAATGGGCTGAGGTGAGGTTCACCTCAGCCCTTGGATCCGCACTGTATCTGCTCGAGTGAGAGGTGCACTGGAGCAGATTCGCGTCCAAAATCCAGACCATATCACCTGCAGTCCAAAGTTCCAATAGCAGTAGTTACTTCCCTACTATGGCTAATTGGCTTGAACTATATAAGCAAAGAATAAGAACATGTACAGGAAACAAAATTGGTCAAGGAAATTAGAAAAAGTACAGGAAACAAAATCGGCACAACTACAAGGACACACCAATCAGTGAGGTAATACAACACACCAATCAGTGTGAACAAATTGGGGCATAAATAATTTCCAAAAAATAAATAGCAAAATATCCAATATTAGTTCCTAAACAAACATCATCTAAAATAATGTGAAATACATCTCAGGAGTAACATACCTATTTTCCGGCACTACTCAATCCAAAAAACTTTTATATGTTTATAAACAACCTTGCATTAATACAATTAAGGAGAAAATAATAAGAAACATTAATTAGTCTTATTACCAAGGTTGTAATTTTTTTTTTTTAATTGATACTCGCACACTACCTCCAAAAATATATAGAATATATATTTTTGTTTGTAAGGAACCAAAACAATTTCAAAAATGGTGGCCTAAACCTCTACCACCAAGATGAATATAAATAATGTGCCATTGGAACAAAATAAGATGTTAACATATAATAATATATATATATATATATATATACACTCATGTTAACATATATAGAAAACACAACAAAACAAACTAACATTCCTGCAAGAAGAAGCAAGATAAGAGATAGAGTTACCTGATGACTGAGGCGACATCTTCAGAATCAGACCCCTTGAATAGAGATCAAAGCCCAATCTTAACTTCAAAATACAGAAAATTGTTCCTTTGGAAAGAACGGCCTAGCAAAATATTTCCCTATATATATTATGTTATTCCAATGACAAAAAAAAAATAATAATAATAAATAAATAAATAAATATTGGACTGCATGGATATTCTAGTATAATAAAAAGAGTGGGCCTTGACTAATCTATTAATGTCCTGTTCGGTAGGAAGGAAGAAAGAGGGGTGAAAAAAAACAGGAGGGAATAATCAAAATTCCTTCGTTCGGTAGGAAGGAGACACGGAAGGAAAGGATTATAGGAGGGATGTCTTATCCCTCCTTCTTTACAAAATTTCATCCGCCCAAATATGGACAGAAGACAAGAGAGAAAATAAGTGTAGCTACTATAAAAATATTAAATTACAATATTATCCCTTTCAAATATTAAAAATTAAACCCTACACATCTCATCTCACGCAAAAAAAAAAAAAAACTATCAAGGTATGATTCATGTGTTATATATATATATATATATATATATATATATATATATCTGTGTGTGTGTGTGTGTGTGTGTGGAGTATTGTCATATATTGTAAGACTACAACTAGTGGTGCAAATAATTTTGAGTGTTCAACGCAAATGGCTGAAAATAAGAATTTTAGTTTGGCATGACTCTACTAGGATAATATTTATCAACGAAGTATGTAGATAGTGGGATACATTTTTTTATATTATTATTTTTCATGATGAAATATGATTGGTAAATAGCCATCATATTTACTACTCATTTAAACAGTATCATTAAATAATGAAGGGTATAATGATAAAAATAATTTTAAATTCTCTCTTCCTTCTCTTGCAACGAATAAAGGAATTTGGTAGGTTCTTCTCTTCTCTTCCATCCAACCGAACAAAACGAGGGAAGTCCATAACTCTTCTTTAGAGATGTCTCATCCTTCCCTTCTTCTCTCCATTCCATCCAATTTACTTCCTTCCTAACGAACAGAGACTAAAGTTTGAACTTACAAAAGGATTATACACACACACAAATATATATATCATAAAATCTTTCAGGTTGATGTGCACTTAAGCCTGTATTAGGAAGAGAGAGATGTAGAGTGAGGGGCTTGCGGTGACGGAAGGAGGAGGAGGAGAAGCACAGAGTTTCTCAGGCAAACTAGCTGAGGCAGAGAGGCAGTGGGAGATGAACAATGAAGATCCATAAAATAACAAATATATAAAGATAACAAAGAATGTGTTGATAGAGATGTCTTAGAATAAAACATAAAATTAATGATCACGTGATGGTTGGCAAGCAATAAAAATATGGGCAAACTACAATGACCTCCCCTGAGGTTTGACATAATTGCAACTAAACCTGAGGTTTGTTATTTTTTTGCAAAGACACCCCCATGTCAGATTTTGCTATGAATTTACTTATATACCCTCATTATTATATTCTAAAAAATAAACAAAAAATCTGAGCATGTCAAATGACTGTATTGCCCTTTTAACTTACAACCACACAAAGTTGCACATATCACTTCGTCTCGAATTTAGTCCCTACAAATCAACTACGTTCTCACGTTCTCATTCACAAAGCCCTTTCTCGAACAAACTAAGATCCAAGTTGCAGAGGCCTTTTCTCGCAAAATCTGTTTTACGATTGTGTTGCTCGTCATCATCTTTGACAATACTGTGTTGCTGAGGTGCAGGTGAGATCAACACTGGCCAGGTATCGTAATATTCATCTTTACATTGGATACTCATGTTCGACTTTCATCTTCATCTCCATCTTGGTTCACAAATACGTTGTCTTGGATTTTAAGGTTTATGTTGGTATTTGTTTTAGGGTTTATTTCGAAATTTTATTTACAATTTGATGAAATTGGGGTTCTGAGGTTAATAATTTTTTGGGGGTTTTTGTAGGGTTGCAATTACTTGTAATTTTTTTCATCTTAATCTTAGGGGTTTCTTTCGATTTTAGGGTTTATTTTAGGGTTACCTTTATTTCAAAATTTCTTTCTGATTTGATGCAATTAAGGTTCTATGGGTTAATAAATTTATTTTTTATGATATTAATTACGATTATTTTTATATTTTTCTTCTATCTTCGTCTTCATTTTGGGAGTTTATTTTAGATAATGTGAGATTATGGTTCTGTTAATTTAAAATTACGGTTTTTTTAGTTTTTTTTTTTCCTCTTTCCTTAGTTGATAATATTTCTGTGAATTCTTTAGTGTTAATTAATTTTCTGAATTACTGGATTTTTGTTTCTGTTTTTTAAAATTACGGTTTTTTTAGTTTTTTTTTTTTTTTTGCCCTTTTTCCTTAGTTGATAATATTTCTGTGAATTCTTTAGTGTTAATTAATTTTCTGGATTACTGGATTTTTGTTTCTGTTTTTTAATCTTCTAGGTTCTGTAATGGACTTTTTACATACTTTGTTGGTTGACTATCATGGTCACATTCATCCATTGAGTAATATAGACCCTAACATGTATAATTTCCTAGAGCTTTTTTCTGATGCATGTGAGGCTGCACTTAGTAATGTTCCTACACAGTCTGGGTTATCAATGAAGTTGTACTACCTTGATAGTAATAGAAGGAGATTTAGACGTACTTGAGATGTTTCAAATGTATGCAGGTTCTATAAACATAGATATCTTTCTAGAGGTTCATGAAATTGATGAACATTTGACTGTAATCAGAGATGATAATGTAGATGAGAATGAGGCTATTCACAATGTGAGCCCACAAAATGGAAGTGGACAGGAAAAGGGTGTAGAGAATGCAACTGCAGAGGATATGAATTCTGATGAGAGTGATGAAGACTATGTTTTCAGTGGGGATAATGAGGATGAAATTTATATTGTGGTTGATCCAGTTCACCTAGAGGTTGAGAGCCTTGATGATGACGGTGATTCTAGGCTTTCTGATTACAATTCCAATGACAGTGAGGGGAATTTTTCTGATAGTAGTCTTGAAATAGAAGGGAAAACGGTTAATATCCACAAGTATATAAAGGGTAAAAGGTTTAGGTATGGTGATAATGGTAAAATAGAGTTGGAAAAAGCTCTTTTGTTTGACGATGTGAATCATTTCAGGAAGGTGTTAAGGAAATATGCTGTCCAAAAGGGTTTTAGGCTTGTTAGAAATAAGAATGAGAAGGCTAGGGTCACTGCCCATTGTGGCAATGAAGGCTGCAATTGGCGAATTCGTGGCACCCCTTTAGTTGACAAGGTAACATATAAAATAAAAACACTTGCCCCTGACCATACTTGTGTGAGGGTGAACAAACTCAAAGATGTTACTTCAACTTGGATAGCCCAAAAGTGTGCAAAGAAGTTAAGAAACCAACCTGAAATGAATGTGAAAGCTTTACTAGAAGAAGTAAAGGAAAAATTTGGGGGTGTTAAGGTTCCTGAATACACATTATACAGGGCAAGGAACAGAGCCCAACTTGAAAGTGAGGGCTGTCATTCCGAGGCATTCCAAAAATTGCCTCTATATGCAGCTGAGGTAGAAAGAACTAATCCAAGTTGTATGGTCAGGATTAAGAGGAATCCAGACAACAGTGAGATGTTTAAGAGTATGTTTATGTCATTTTCAGCACTAAGAAGAGGGTTTATTGATGGCTGCAGGCCATACATTGGTTTGGATGGGTGTCATTTGAAAGGTCCATATGGGGGTGTTTTGTTAAGTGCAATTGCTTTGGATGGGAACAATGGCCTGTTTCCCATAGCAATTGCAATTGCTGATGGTGAGACAAAGGAATCATGGACTGATTTCTTGACAAATTTGTATGACTTGATTGGGGATAGTGCTGAGACAACACCATGGACTTTCATGAATGATGGGCAGAAAGGAATACTTTAAGCTTTAGAAGTTGTTTTTCCTTATGCACAAAAGGAGATGTTGTAGGCACATTTACAACAACTTTAAAGTGTTGTTTCCTGGGCTGAGAATGAGAAGGTTGTTTTGGAATGCAGCAAAGGCATGCACTGCCCATAATTATCAAAGAGAACTCACAAAAATCAGAAGCCATTCAGAAGGGGCATATAACTGGCTTGTAAATCACTCGTTGGAGACATGGTGTAGGCATAGGTTTGATCCAAGAGTTAAATACGATAATGTTTCAAACAATCATGTAGAGTCTTTTAATTCTTGGTTGGGAGACATCAGGATGAGATCTGTTTTGGGTATCATGGACACAATAAGAAGCAAACTAATGTGCAGGCTACAAAAGAGTTATCAGAGAGGGTTAGGTTTGGAGAACTTGACTGCAGCACCTAAGTTGAGGAAAAAATTGAATAAGGCAGTAAAGGATAGTGGGAAGATAGAAACACTCTTTTGGGCAAGGGGTACTAAATATGAGGTGACACAAGATGGATTTATATTTGTTGTGGATTTGGGCCCAAAAACTTGTTGTTGCAGGGCTTGGGAAATTTCTGGAATTCCTTGCCACCATGCCGTGGCATGCATCAATTACAGTAGGTTAAACATTGAGGATTATTGTCATAGTTACTATAGTAAAGAGAAGTACATGAAAACCTATGACAATATGATACACCCTCTGCACCATGAAACCTTGTGGCTTGAAGTACCACATGCCCCTCTTGAGCCACCTATACTGAAGAGAAATCTTGGCAGACCTAAGAGGGTTAGAAGAAGGCAGAGTGATGAACCTTTGGCTATGAAGAGGTCATCTATAGTAACTTGTAGCATTTGTAATATTGTGGGGCACAACAAAAGAGGATGCCAAAGGGCACCAACAGCAAGAGCAGCAAGAGAAGCAGCTGCAGGTCCTTCAAGAGCTGCATGTCCATCAAAAGCTACGACAAGCAGAGGGAGAGTTGGCAAGTTCAGTGTATGTCATTTCAGTATATGATTAGTTAAATATTTTTGTTTTTGTTTTTGTTGTTTCAATGCTTAAGTTCACTTTGAAAAATATGCAGGTGTCAAATGTAGGTGGTCATGGTGGCAACAGTGGCAAAGGACCTAGAGTTGGGAGAGGTGGCAACAATACTCAGTCCAGTGTATATCATTTTAGTATATAATTAGTTTGTATTTTTTTTTCTTTTTTTTTTTTTTTTTAATGGTGGCTTAAGTACATTGAAAAGCATGCAGGTACCAAATGATGCGGTGATTCCTACTGCTGAGAGTAGGAATTAAATTTCTTATTTGAACAGGTGATTGAACTGCATGTTTCACCTACTTTCTTTGTTTCGATGCTTGCTTGAATGAATTAAACTACTTACTTAAACTACTTTCTTTGACACATTGCAGGCCATTATTTTTGTTTTTTGGGACATTGACATAACCAAATTTGACCTACCAAAGTATATAGTAGCTGCTGAAGAATTGTTTAGCCCCATTGTAAGTTTTTGTTGACATGGGCAATATTGGTGATGTAATTAGGGCTAATGGTGATATGTTCAGCCCATTGTCTATTTTTGTTACTGTGGGCTATATTGGAAATGTAGTTAGGTCTAATGATGATATGTTCAGCCCATTATATGTTTTTGTTGATATGGGCTAAGGTTATGTAATTGACAATTTCAAACTATTTTAGGGCTAATGTTATGTAATCAAGGCAGGTTCTGGAATTAAGACAGTTTCAAGCTTCAGTTTATGATTATGTATTTAAAATAGATTTAGTAATTGACAATGTGACTGTTGTATTTGGGTTATGTAATAACAATGTTATGGTTATTTTTCATGACAAAGTAATGACTATGCCTAGGTTATTTGCAAGTGCTTTTTTTAATTGCAATTTTTGAAAGATTTTGTGTAACTGTTATCTTTGTGCCATTAAAATATTTGTGCCCGTTATGTGTTTTGCAGCTGAAAAATGTAGTCACTTTGCGAAAGCTAGTCATTTTTGCCTTTAATGACAAATTAAAAAATGGTTTTAAGTTTTAAGTAGTTGTTATATTATGCTAATTTTCTAATTTGTAGATGAGGTGAGAAATTGAACCATTAACTTTACATCCAATAGACTTGACCTGCATTAATAACAAAGTAATAAAGATTTGAATTGTAGTAATAACTAAATAATTCAAGATGTTTTACCTTCAAATGAACATTCAATGGCATTTTTTCTCCACTGCTGGAAGAGATGAATTGTATTAATAACTAAATAATTCAAGATTTTTTACCTTCAAATGAACCTTCAATGGCATTTTTTCTCCACTGCTGGAAGAGAGATCTCTCTTTCTCTAATATATCTCTCTAACAAACATAAACTAAAAAGCTAAAGTAACAGTTATATTTAAATATATTTCAATTGCGAATTTGCATTTCACTTTCAATGTCATTTGGGTTGCATTTGAAAATATCAATTGCGAATTTGCATTTCATTTGGGTTGCATTTGAGTCTTATATATATATATATATATATATATATATAAGGGCATTTTGGTCCATTATTGTGTTATTTTTTTATTGTGTAATAACACTATGGGCATTTTGGTCACTTCAAACCAAATTTATGACAAAAAGTACTATTTTTTGTACAGAGGGGAGGTCTTTGCAAAATTGGACAAACCTCAGGGGTACAAACTGTAACAAAATGGCAAACCTCAGGTTTAGTTACAATTATGTTAAATCTCAGGGGAGGTCATTATAGTTTGCCCTAAAAATATTAAGTCGTGCTACTTAGGAATTTAGACAGGCAGTAGCTTATGCTGACTCATTATAAAATATTAAATTTTTAATTTTATTTCTAATTCTTTAACTATTCGTCTTCTATTAAAATTTGAATTCTTTCTTTAATTATTTTCATTTTTTTACTATAAATATTTGCAATAACCATTCGTCTTCTATCAGCAATTTAGTTCCTTCTTTAATTATTGCTAATTTTTTCTTGATAAATATTTTTAATCTCTATTCTGTTTAAAAAAAAAAAAAAAAAAAAATTATTAACATCTATTCTTTATAATACAATTTAATTTTATTGAGTCGTGATACTTAGGAATTTAGACCAATTTCCTTGGTAGAATTCATGTGGCACAAAAAAAAAAACAAACAATATTTAATAGTGGCTATGCTGACTCATTACAAAATATTGAATTTTTTATTTTATTTTCGATCCCTTAACTGTTCGTCTTCTATTAAAATTTTAATTCTTTCTTTAATTATCTCTATTTTTGCAATAACCGTTTGTCTTCTATTAGGAATTTAGTTCCTTCTTTAATTATCTCCAATTTTTTTTTCATAAATATTTTTTATCTCTATTTTGTTTAAGAAAGGTTAAAATTTTTTTTATTAACTTCCATTCTCTATAATACAATTTAATTTTATTAAGATGATTTTATTATAAAAAATTATACTAAGAGTCTCAAAAAACCCTTTGAACTCTATTAATATTTATTTTTTGTAATACAATTTAATTTTATTAAAATTTTAAGAATAGACATCATTATTAATGATAAAAGAAAAATATTGAGCTCTTTGGTGAAGGTAAAAAAGAATTTTAAAAAATAGGGAGAAAGAGAAACTTAATAGTAATGATTATCAGCATATTCACGTAAATTAGATTAGACTTTAGAGAAATCGCTTATCTCGTCTGTACAAATACCATTTTCCAAAAACATTTTATTTTGAATTTAGAAGAAATAGGTGTGCATGCGACAGAGATGAGTGTTCTCTTTGTCCTTTCCTAAATAGGTGAGCATTGAATGTAATTAAAGGTTGTTTGATGGGAAGGCAGGGCCGGTCAGGTCAAAGGTCATAAAAGAATAAAATGTCGCAAGTCTGAAGAATAAGTACTCGCACGCCTCTTTTGTGTGAAATGATTGATGATTCTTCACAACAAAATCTTTTTTTGTAGTCATGCATCTACATCTTCTTTTTATCTATTCCCTCTGTCCCGTTTGGGGAATTGGAACCATGACTCACATTCCAAGAAGATACTTTTTTGTCCTATTATAAATGGTATTTTTAAAAATTATAACTTACAAAATTGTGAATTATAAATTTTGAATATGTCATTTAAAGTTGGACAGTAGTAGTAGTTGCTATTCTATTAACTGCTCAAAGTCAACCTGTTCCCTAGTTTTTTAAACCATTTCTTTCTAAAATACTACTACCTTAAACTCATATTAATAATTTATTATTTTATTTTTAAATGTTCCAAATTGATTAAGAAACAAATGCATAACACAAGGCAAATAAATTTTAATATTAACAATACTTAGCTATTGGTGTGTAGTTCATCCTATTAAATGTTGATGTGAATCAATAAAAAAATACATACACATGCTGTGATTACAAAATCTAAAAAGTAATAAATTTGCATTACTATTTCTACTTTTCTTATTTATCACTTTCTTAAATTTGAGACTATATGGGGTTAGCAACAACTCATATGCGAGTATCCCAAGTATTGTTCTTTTAATATTAGCTATTTACAAATGAAACATTAAAATTCGAATGCACAAAACAGACAAAATAAACGAGAAATTAAACAAAATCTTATGTAAAAGGCCATTCTCATAAACTTACAATTAAAAACTTTACTGCCAAAGATCACTCTTGCTTGGTGGTTAAAAACAAACCCTAATTTTGTCTTCGTTTAGAAATCCTAATTTGTCTGTAGATTTTCAAGATTTGTTTGTTGGTAAAAGGCAATTGGAAAGTGCGAGCTTTGAAACCCATCAACTTTTTGTTGGTAACGGTTAGTTTTTCTTAAATACTGGCTCTACTATACAAATTTTCATATATATATACTAGAAAATCGTACATGCAATTGCACGTAATTAAAACTAATATGTATATATAAATAAATAAATCAAAATGAATGAGAGTTGTATCATTACAAAAGTATTGCATATAAAGTTAATTAAGAAATGCAGAGGTGGTACAATATACATAGTCAACAAAATAAAAATAAAAAATCATAAATTTGTTGTCAAAGCATGCAAAAAAAAAGGAATTTTTTTTTTTTTTTCCCCTCAAATACACATATTCACACTGCCCTTTTTTTTATTAAACCAATACAATCTTTCAAAAATAGTGATGGTTTCCAAGTGTCTAGGATTACATAATTTCACGCAAATTAAACTGATAATGTAATATGTGTTCTACGCGTCCACATAAAAAAATAGAATATTTTTTTACTTTAAAATAAAATGAATCAAACATTATGGGAAATACCAATTGATACGTGACTTTAGAAGAATGAATTTGGTGATAGTGTGTTCTTGAGAGATTGACCGTTTCCTTTTTAAGTGGAGATTTGTTTCAAATATTTTAAATATTGTTACAGAAGGTTTAAATTTGTAACCTAGTTTACATACACTATTAAGAAAAATAAATATATCCGTGTCAACTAAACTATGATCACTAATACTCTCTATTAATTTGCTGCTAAGAAGAGCTGAGAAAAGTCATAAATTAGAATTTTATACATTAATTTTTTTAAAAACAATGTATGGCCTTTCTAGAGATTCTATTGATTGTAGGTTCTTAACAAAAAGATAAAAAAACATAAGAAAAAACAAAACAAAACAGGAACAAATTAAATTTACAATCTAGTTCACATACGATATCAAGAAAAATAAATTAAATAATGTCTCCGTGTCAACTAAACCTTGAACACTAATAATCTGTTTGGTTACTCAAAAGATCCAGTCGAAAAAAGATGAATTTGAAGTTTTATACCCTTCCAAAAAATTAGAGGTTTGAGAAATTTGATCCACAAAGAAATGCTATTTCTCCATGGAAATGTTGCATTACTTGTCACTCACTTGCAAGGCTGAGTAGGGCTATGAGGAGATAATTTTGAATCCCCATTACAATTACAGTTTACTTTTTGGTATGATACCATTGTTAGCTCAATTGCGAGTAAAGGGAAGCACAAACTGTGCTTTATAGAGAGCAGCACAAGATAGGATGGAAAAGATGATCTTGTTACATCTAATGGTAGTATATATAAAATATATTAAGCTTGTGTTTTCATAAAAAATCTACGTGTCTAATTGAACGGTATAGGCTGCTTATAGATCGAACCTCATCCATTATGGAATTGACAGAGGCACTCCAAAAAGGGAACCATGGGATCTAGGCCTTATATCGAGTCAACATAAAGCTGACCTTTCTAGTATGTTTTGATTTGGTTGAAAATCCATATGAAAAAAATCATGAATATGATAATGTAAAAAAAAATATGAGAGATTTCCATAAAGAGGGAAAAGCCACAGCTTACTACTTACACTATTAAAAAACGGACCCATACGAGCAGTCTTATTCATATTCATTGATAAGGGATGATGGCTATAAGTAAGCTCTGAAGAACCTACTGATGCATTACCTCCCCCTCATTCACTATTTCAATTAATGGGGAATTTCAAGGGCACTTCTCAGGGGTTAGGGGGTTGAGACAAGGGGACCCTATCTCTCCTCTACTCTTTGTAATTGCTATGGAAGTATTCACCTCCATCACTAAGAAGCATATCACTGACAATTCCCAATTCAAATATCACTCCAGATGTCGAGGGTTGGGTATATCTCACCTAATATTCGTTGATGACCTTCTACTCTTCTCCTACGGGGATCTTGCCTCCATTGACACACTTAAGAGATCACTGGATCACTTCTCTGCACTTTCTGGGCTATACATCAATCCTTCAA